ATAACACCCGCTAAATAGAGAATACGATCTGCTGAGTGAAGTGCCCTCAATTATATGTAAAGTAAAAGTTATTCAGTAGAGAGAGTGAATACACAACTTATTCGTCTATATTTGTCTTTTTTCATCTAATACTTACATCACATAATACTCTAGGGCCGCATCAATTCAATGCTGTTTTAAATTTAACCTTTCGTTGACGTTACCCTTAGTATAAGAATAGCATAAGTATCACAAATTACTTTTCTATTACCAGTTAACTCTAATTTTTGCTTATTCTAAACTAATTTATAAATAAATATATATATACACTCATATATATATTTATATAACTTATTTATATATATATATATACATTTATATATATATTAGTGTAAAATCAAGCATTTGGAGAATTTGTCAAAAAATTCTACCCAAGTCAGAGACGTTTAATAATATATTTCTTTAAACTCTTCAGATTACCGCCAGCAAGTTTCCGTGGTGTAGTGGTTATCACATCCGCCTAACACGCGGAAGGTCCCCGGTTCGAAACCGGGCGGAAACACTGTGCCGGTTTTCTTTTTTAAGTAAATTTTTCAATTATATTTGTACATTTAGATATTTATTTATATGAAAATGTAAATTCGATGAGAATGTCAAAGAAACTCTGTCTAATCCAAATTCTTCTTACTGTTTCAACGTCGACACAGGTTATGTTGAAAATATTTAGACAATTCCCAATAAATTTTTGTTGTGTAGTGGTTATCGTGTTCGCCGAACACGCGCTGACTAACCGGTTCGAAGCCGGCTGGACGCTGCATCAAGTCCGGCTCATTATTAAGGCCTTTTTATTTTTTTGGAATTTACCATAACGGAGCTCAATTGCAAGATAATCAGATGCTATTGCAACAAGACCGACCTCAATCCGTACTCGACTCTCGACAATAAGAAACATTAAAATTCATGACAATACAAGTAAATTAAGAGATGAACTAACAGAAATAGCTAAACGGATTGAGAATCTTCAAGACAGAACTTTGGCAAAGCTGTTATAGCGTAAGTGGCGGCATGGGTTGACTTTTGCGTCTCTTACTTCACTTTAGATTTTCCGAAAAATTAATTTTTTTCTTGATCTAGTAGACGCTTGGAACCTCCTAGAATAAGGTGCAACATGTTCATTAATTGGAAAAAAATTTTTCTTTGAAAGGTCGATGTATTCTCTAAGCATTCCGAAAGCATTGCTTAAGCCATATGAGTCTTTACGAAGAAGTTACAGCTTAATGTTTTCCTGTTTCCCGTAATGTTGATTTCTAAGTCTTTTAAGTAATTGCTTACCGCTAATCGCTATCATTGCAAATTGATGCGCATTTCGAAGCATTTGCAATCAAACGTACGTTAGCGCGGCTTCACGAAAAAACCATTGAATGGTTGCGAGGCTGCGAAGGATTCGAAAGTTGTCGGTGATCGTGCGAACAGGATGAGTGTGTGTGATGAATTTTTCGATATTAATTTTATATTCGATTACGGAATTGTAAATATTCCTGCCATCTTCTCTATCATATTCTAAAACGTGCAAATAGGTTTCTGATAATTCCGACAAAAGGGACGCGGTGCTAAAATTTCCAAAGAAACCGGAAAAGAAACTGTAGAATTATAAATTTTTCTGTCATTTCCTAACAAGCAAAGTGTAAAGCGGAAGGTGTTATCTTTAAGCCACCTTGAAGCAATGCGTCTTTCCAAGAAAAGGAAGTGAGCAAGAATATATATATATATATATTTTTTCATGTGACCAATAGCTCAGGCGTTGTGCCCTACTCGTGATGGTGGTCGCAACGTCGTGAATACGTGCTGAATCAATGAGTGTTATACCTTCATCGACTAAGTACACTCATTATAACTACCAGGACGTGCTTCCAAATTGTGGATAAATATACCTAGAATACCTACAATATACGATGTGTATGACACGATGTACGATGGACATATCACGTGAATATATCGTTGCTCTATGAGGCCTTACAATACCGCATGTCAGGTGGTAGGTGATGTTAATAGATTCTAGGGATAAAACGTTGCCCTTTTTTCGGGGTTTTGTAAAAGGAAGTCATTCTATTAATTGTGAGTACGAATGGACTACCGATTCGCATCATTTTCATTTCCAAAAAAAGAAAGAAAGATCGTATCTTAAAAATGTTTGCGGCGTTTCAAGGTTATTTCAGTGCGCTTATGTGTGCGTCCGTCCGTGATACTAATTTTCAAAACTGGTTTTCAGACTTGAACGTTGTATGCATTATATCACATTATTATTGAAAATATATTTCAATTCGCGGGCAGAGAATTTGTTACTTCGAAATCGTCTGAGAAGCTCAAAATTTTACGGAATATTCGACAGGAGCTATCAAGTTCAATAGAGGAAAATACTTTGGCTTTGGTATTAAAGTAAAGGGACATGCTTTGCTTCGTTTTTTCTATATATGTAAATGTTATATATTTATCTTTTTATCCATTTATTATGTCGTATACAATACATGGAGTTGCGTTCCTCATTAAAGATAACGTCCAATAAATTGAGAGCACATTTAATTGAGTTTTCTCATATATTTTTGAATAATTTCACATATATATATATATAAAATTGATTAATGTCATCTTTCATGCATTTAGATAGCCAGCATATTGTCGCATCCATCTGAATGCAAAACATACCCCAAAGGAATTGGATTATAATCATTATATATTACAATCGATATCATCAATAGAATATAATGTATTTAAAACAAACTAGTTTATGAATGAAAAATTATGTGGGCATAAAATGTAAACGATATAGAAAATTTCAATTTAATTATATATAGGTATTTGCAAAAGTAAATACGTACAACTTATGTAAGAGCACGCAGGCATCGGAATTGTAAATCGAATGAAAAAACATTGAAAAGTGATAACACAAAAACCGATGAATGGTCTAGTCAAGCAGTTAAACTTGATAACATAACCAAAGTACTATGAACAACACGAATCGAGTACCACTTGAATTCGTTGGGGATATTATTAGCTAAACTATTGTATTTGTTGTTATTGCAATTGAAATGAACAAACAAAAACAGGACGATATATTAGCATTTAAAATTCATTTATGTTTACATTTAACAAAAACAATATCGTACGTATGTGTACGTAGCATAGAGATAGTTGCATGCATGCATGCATGCATGCATGCAGACGTGTGTTATGCGTTATAAAGGAAATGAATAGTAAACAATGCCCAAAATTCATGTACAATATATAAACATAAGCAATGAGCAATAAACGCGGGCAGTCAGTCAAGCATTTTTTTATGCATTCAAGTAACGTAACTGATGTTCGGAATTATCGTTTGGCATAAGCAAGCATAAGCTCCACAAAAAATTGGCAACTTTAATGTTAAAATGTTAAAACGTTAACTAACTATCAACATAAGAAGCATCTATTCAACCGAATAACCGACTATAACAGATACAATAACGGATATGCCATAAATGCAGGCATATGTTCCCTCATTACGATGTACGTAAGTACTCAGGCGAGTCAATGACGAGGTGACTGCATTAAAATGTCTGCAAATGATATACTTGTGCATTAAACTTATTGGAAAAGAGAGAAAGGTGAAGTGAAAAACAAAAAAAAAAAAAAGAAGTGTTTAACTTGTTCTTCTCTGTCGTATGTGTGTGTGTGTGTGTGTGCATGTATGTAAGTATAAAGAGTTGGTTGCTAACAACTGTGACCAATGGTTTTTGCAAAACATGATATTGAACATATATGACGCGTCTTTTTCTGTAATAATAATTACAAAAGTCACGAAATGTACGAAATGAATAGAATGACGTTAGATTTTATTATGCAGCAGCAACAACAAAACAACAAAGTCAACAATGTTGTAATTGCTGCAATTTCAAAATACACACATGCATGGCGCGGCATTTTCTCTGTTTTTTTTTCTTTTTTTTGTTGTTTTTTTTTCGTTAATCATAAACTCATCATTATTTCACTGGAAGAATGAAAACATATTGGCGCGAACACGCAATTGTTATATTTCAGTAAAACTCTTTATGCCGAAGAAAAAAACTTGAATTTTAAATCCTTTTTTTTATTTTTATTTTTTTATTATTATTTTTTTTTTTTTTCTTTTAATTATACTCTTTTTGTGAATTTGTAAAGCTAAACTAATTTACAAACATTTTTGCCTTTAACTATATAATTTTTCTGTTCATTTTTAATATTCCATTATATATATATATTTATATATATATATATATATATATATATATGTATATGTGTGGTGTATGTAAATTTTTTATTTTAGAAAAATTTGATTAAAACACGCTTTTGCAACCATTTACCGGTAATGTCGTCGTTGAACTGTTTTCTCCATAACATTACTTGCCATTCGTTACCTGCTATTGCCTCAGTGTTTGCGTCTACTGTATTCGTATTTAACACGAACAATATCAAAACACACTACCACTACTAATGCTACTACTATCGCTGGTGTGTTCGGTTTCCCTTAACCGAGTAAAACAAACACTAAAACACATTTTCCTTGCTTTTTTTTTTTTCTCTTTTATCCTTTGCTTTTGCCTTTTGTTATGTGTAGGACGAATCAAACAACTGTGATTTTTATTTCATATTATCATATATACACAAACATGCACCCACATTTAACATAAGCAATAGTATGAGTTTGTGTGCGCGTATATATATGTATATATCCTTTTGTGTATATATATATGTATATATATGTGTGTGTGTGTGTGTGTTTATGAAAGTATAAGAATTTTTTTTTTTTTTTTTTTGTGATTTTGCAAATACAAATCTTTTGTTCAAATCATGTTGTTACAAGATTTGCTTTTTTTCAGGTTCGCTTTATTTTATTTTTCCGACGCCACGAATGTGGGTGGTAGTTAAATGTTTATTTGATGGTTGTGGTGATTTTGTGGTGGATTTTTCATCGTTTTTTTTTTTTTTTTTGTTTTGCTTTTTATACACGCGTGTTGTAGGAGAAATATTGTTGATAGCACTAATGGGGTAATTGTCTATTTTGAGGTGAATAAGTTATTTACGAAGATTCGCAATTCGTGTTAGTTGGTAAATAAAAAATTTACGTTTCTATTTACCAACAATTAATGTATATGAATATTATAAAGAATGACTATGTTTTTATCCCTTTTGTTGATAAACTTCTACTATTCGTTGCCTTGGCAACGATTACGTTAGGTTATCATTGAACTTTTTTTGTTTTTTTTATTTTTTTGCCAATTTATTGATGATCATCTCATGTCCATGCCCAGGGGTATGATTAACATTGTTTAATATTAACAAAGACGACAGTTTTAAAAATTCTTCTTTTTTTTTTTGTCTTTTTTCCTGATGATTTTTTTGATATTCCTTAGCTTAGTAGGGATTAAACCTATTTATCTGCCTTTCGCTGCTTTATGGTATGTTAGATAAATCTATCTGTTTTATTTTAATCCTTATTGAAAAATTTGGTATTTTATAATAATTATCCGAAGAAGAGGTGGTTTATTA